GAAGAGAAGTGTCTTTTTAGCTGACAGCAGCTTCTTTGAAGCACACTAGAGTCTTGCTGCATGTTTTCAGCTCTTTTCTGGATGGCATGTTACAGCTCGGATTGGTAACAGCGTGATTCCGGCTTGGTCTCAGTCCCAGAGTGGTCCAGACACTTGGTGGTGAGGAAAGCCACATGCTTCCCAGGCTCTTAGAGACCACCCCTCTGCTGGGATTTTGGGGAAGGTCATGAAGTGACTCGCCCAGTGTCGCTCTATGAGAGCAGCATAGATAAAATATGTTATTCCTTAAGTTTTTTCTATCTAACTGCTCCGGGTTTGGAAGTATTTTAAGGCCTGACTGAAGAGGATCTCGATGTCCAAAGGGAAGAATTAAATCATGTATTTCCCTTGACGTGCTCTGTCTGACTGCCGTGGGAACCCTTCCAAGTTCCTCAGGCTGTTGGGGTTCCGTGCTTGCCCTGCTAACGGTGCTCTCTGTCCTGTGGACAGGAATGCCCGAAATGCCACGTCACCATCGAGAAGGACGGGGGCTGCAACCACATGGTCTGTCGGAACCAGAACTGCAAGGCGGAGTTCTGCTGGGTGTGTCTGGGCCCCTGGGAGCCCCACGGATCTGCCTGGTGAGTTCGGGAGCGTGCCTTGCTGGAAGGCGAGGAGGTCGTGGTGCAAACGGCACGGATTTGGACTGAAATCTGTGGAATCGGTGTCCCTGTTACAGGTACAACTGTAATCGCTACAATGAGGATGATGCAAAGGCAGCAAGGGATGCACAGGAGGTGAGTCCATAACCTTTGGTGATGAGGGAGATCACCAGCCCTGTGGTGTGCTTTCTGTAAACCTACACATCTGCTCTGAAGGAATTCACGGATTCGGGCACAAATCCAAAGGACAGTTAAGTCTTTTGACTTTTAAGATAGGGATGGCTTTGCCTGGTATGTGCTACCTTTGTACATCCACAGCACACAAGTTGAACCATGCCCGTGGTGTTATTTTTTACAGCTGGTCTGTCAGTGTGAAGAAAATAAGATTAATGACTGTGTATTGAGTCATCTTGGTTCTCTTGCACTGTTTAGTACACCGTGCCTTTCCCCTGCTCTGTAATCAACCTGAGATTGCCCTCTTAGCACAAGCACAGTAATTAGAATTCCTTATTAGCAAAAAAAGAAACCAAACAAAACATCATCTTCTCACTTTTGTCATGACACTGGAAGCATTTGAGTGCTGTACCTCAAGTCGAGAAGGCTGAAATACAAAAGTGATGAGGCTTGAGCAGTGTGATTGTAATTGCTTCCAAGGTTGGGAGTGAGGATGTCAGAGCTGTGCTGGGAGGTGCCCGAGGCGCTTCCCAGGGTTAGTGGGGCTGCGCCGAGCCATCTGCCCAACGCGATGGGAGAGGAGCCTCCTGTGGAAAGGAAGCTCGTTCTCTCATCAGGAAGAGCCTTGTGAAGGGTTTAGTTCTCTTGCAACCATTACTTTGTTTTAACTATTTGTTTTCTTTCTCCCTAATGGGAATTAACACAGCGATCCCGAGCAGCCCTGCAGAGGTACCTGTTCTACTGCAACCGCTACATGAACCACATGCAGAGCCTGCGCTTCGAGCACAAGCTCTATGCTCAGGTGAAGCAGAAGATGGAGGAGATGCAGCAGCACAACATGTCATGGATCGAGGTGCAGTTCCTGAAGAAAGCAGTCGACGTCCTCTGCCAGTGTCGTGCCACACTCATGTACACTTACGTCTTTGCCTTCTACCTCAAAAAGAATAATCAGTCCATTATCTTTGAGGTAGGAGAAAATGGGGTTATCAGGAATTCAGATTGCAAAACTGAGGAAATAAGATTTAATGCTTGGAGGCCTCTGGTCCCTGCTTCTACCCAAGTTAGTCTGGTTTAATATTCTGTTGTGCAAAAGTTAAGAGGCTGTCTGGGCGTTATGTAGGATTGTTTTCTGGAGGAGTCACAGAATCACAAAGCTGTGGCCGCCCCATCCCTGGGAGTGTTCAAGGCTGTGTTGGATGGGGCTTGGAGCAACCTGGTCTAGTGGAAGGTGGCCCATGGCAGTGGGTGGAACTGGATGAGTTTCAATGTCCCTTTCCACCCAGAATCAGTCTGGGATTCCATGATATCTAATCCTTTTTTATTTTGGTACTGATTCCAACTGCACTGAAATAAAAATTTCCCCCTTTTCTTTACCCCACCTCAAACACTTCTTTTCTTTTGTCTTTACAGAATAACCAAGCAGACTTAGAGAATGCTACAGAGGTGCTTTCTGGGTACCTGGAGCGAGATATATCCCAAGATTCGCTGCAAGACATAAAGCAGAAAGTACAGGATAAGTACAGGTTTGTGTTGGATTACTCCTTCCTCTCAAAGCTGCCAAGTGTTGCCATGCCCTGTGTCAGGTAGTGATTTGAGCACTTGCCAAGACAGTTTCTCCAGAGCCACATCCTTGGGAAGCTGTTTGCTCTTGGCTTTGTGCCACCCATTGTGATCAGCCAGTCCCTGGATATCCGAGAGCAGCAGCGCTGTCCCATGCCAGCCCCAAATCCTCCCAGAGAGGCCCTCACGCAGATGCTGGCAGTGTGTTTTTGTGTCCCTGCTGGGAGCAGCTCTCAGGGAGGTAACAGCCTGTGGGGGGAGGCTCCCAGCTCTGCCTTCCATCTGCTCTGCAGAGCAGGAGCTGGAAGATCCAGCCCTGGAGTGGAAAAAGTACTGTGTCCAGAAGCAGTGGCTCTCTGTACACTGCTGTTCCTGCACAGAAGGAGCCTGTGGGAATGGCCAGCACCAGGATGGGATCTGCAGAGTGAGGGCCAAAGAACAAGGAGTGACTCTGTTGTTCCAAGCTGCCAGCTTTGGCCTAGGATGAGCTGCCAGCAAGCAATTGGCTCTTTTAATTGTGTCCTGGGTCCATTTGTGCAAAACGTGGGTGTAGGAAAGCTGTCCCTAAGGAAGAGGAGCCTGCCCAGCTGGGAAGGGGAGCAGGGGACTGGGGTCCAGGTGACACAGATGCCAGTGCTTTGTTCAGTCCCAGGGGACTAATTTCTGCACAGTGGAAAAGTACAAAGCTGAAAATGCAGATGAGTCACAGGATTAGGGCTTGCATTTCTGAGGCATTTTGCCAAAATCACTGAATTTGTTATGCCTGGCTTAGGGGGAAGAAAATATCCGAGGTAGGGTGAGCTGTAGGACTCAATGGACTACGGGGCGTGGCAGGAGCTGTTAAGATTTGGTGGCTCATCCTGCCCAACTTCAGCAGCACAGCTGGGGCTGGACAGGACTTTCCTGACTTTTTTTTTTTTTTAAGACATTTTGTAATTTACCCTTTAAGGCCACCATTAATTTGGTATTTCAGATGAAGCTGCTTGTTTATGTCAGTCCTCTGAACCTAGATGCTTTTGTAAGGATGAAATTAAAACCTTATATAGCCTGAATTGCTTGGAAACAGTATCCCAAACCTGCATTTCTGGGAAGAAAGAATGCACCTGTCAAGCCCGTGCAGGTCCCTAATTAACCAGTTCAGTCATGTCTTAATCAGGTCCTGCACGGTGCCCTTTGATGTAAGACTGGGAGCAGGATGTCATCAAGGTGGCTTTAAAGAGTTCTGGGAAGCTGCAGGAACTGCCCTCCAGGCTGGTTTGGATCTCTTTGCTTGCAAAGACATATCTAGAAAATGGCATTAAGCCCCCCACACCCAACCAGCAGAAAAATAACTGAAGTTTGGAAAGCAGAGACCTCGTGTTTGCCATCACATGGTCCTGAAAGTCCATGGGACTTTGTGTACAGGGGTTTCTCTTGGACCAGCTGACAGCACTGAGGGGAGCCACCGCTGCTCCGATGCAGAAATGAATCACTCTGATAAGGTCCTGAGCAGTAGGTGAGGAATTCCTGCCAGGTGTCAGTGGATGTTGTGGGATAGCTTCCCACTGGGAGATTTTTTCTGAGGGATGTCTTTACCACTGCCAGGCAAACCGGGTTCCCAGCAGCCAGAGCCTCTCAGATGCTCATTTAGAATTTGCTCTTGGAACCTGAATTAATTCAGTGTTTCTGTGCTTTTTGTCTTCTAACACACACAAAATGACCATGGCATCCTTTGCTGTGTTCTGTGATATCCCTTTTCCTCGGGATCGGTGATCCTGGGAGGACTGGACTGGACTCTGGGATCAGTTTCACGTGTGGCAGTTTTCAGTCAGTGCAGGTGGGAATACTGGGTGTAGTGTCCCTCTGAGAGGCACATGTTGGGACGTGTGATGAAACCTGCTCTCCAGCCAGACCAGTAACCCTTTGGACTGCTTCCATCTCCACTGGGAAATAGAACTGTGTCAGTACTCCTGAGGTTTTCATCATGGACTGGGTTGGGTTGGGAAGGGATCTTAAAGTAAATCTTGTTCCACCTCCTGCCGTGGGCAGGGGCACTTTGCACCAGACCAGGTGGCCCCATCCCACCTGGCCTTGAAGACGTGTTTTTCGTTGTCCTTATGGGGCTTAGGGCAGGTACCAGCCCATGTTTGAGGAGAGTTCATCCCATTCCATGTGTCACCACCAACCTGTGCTCAGGCTTTTTCAAACCACAGCTGCTGCTTCTCCTCTTTGTTATTCCTGAAGGTTTCTCAGCTGTAGAGGCTCTGGGGATACTTTTGCCTGAAAAACTCTGAATTTGCACACTGGTTTTTCAACCAGGGACCTGGAGCTGAGTGACTGGAGCAGCCAAAGTCTTAATTAGCGCTGCTAACGGGCTGTAAATACACTCCCTTCTCGGGGGATGATCTGTTTCAGAAGTGAGGCGTGTGCTGTAGGTTAGGATAACTTGGTGCCAGGGATGCTCCATGATTCCTGACGTGCCTTTTCCGTGCTGTGCCTGTCCCCTGCAGATACTGCGAGAGCCGGCGGAGGGTTTTGTTGCAGCACGTGCATGAAGGCTACGAGAAGGACCTGTGGGAGTACATCGAGGACTGAGCCTGGCCCCGCAGCAATGAACTCTGAACCCTTTCCCATCCTAGAGTGCTCATGCAATTCCAATAAAACCCACCCAGGGCGCTGCTCCGCCTCTTACACCGCTGGTCTGTAGTACCGGGATTCTGTTTTGTTAACAGAAAAATTAAGTAAATTATATTGTAATAAAAAAAAAAAGGTAGATAAACCATTGTACAACAGTATTCTAGGCGGCCAAGAGTGTGACAGACGCACTAAAAAACCCTCCAACTTTAACTTGTAACGTAGCTTCATCCTCCAAGCCGACTCCTTTTCTTTTCTCTTTCTTTTCCTGTGTGTAGTACAGATGAAACTTAAACCAGTTTCTTGACACTGCTTTTCATGTCCAAACCAGCCATTTTGATGGACTTTGGTAAGGGGGGTGGCTCTCCCGCCCCCCTCCTCCTCTCTGCCACACAAGTACACGGATGAATGTGGATTGGCTCATTGTAAAGAGGATTTCTGGGGAGGGAAGGAGGGGGGTACACAGCAAGGAAAAAAAAAAAACCCAACCTTTGTATATGACTTTTAAAACAAAAAGAGGACAACACAGTATTTTTCAAAGTTGTATATAGCGCATATGCATGGACAAAGAGCAAGCGTGGCACGTGTTTGCATAATGTTTAATTACAAAAAAATATTTATTCTTTAAAAATCTTCAAGATTATGTCTATTTGCTGTGCATTTTCTTTCAGTTTGATTCTTTTGTTTGGTTTTGGTTTTTTTTTTCCCTGGGCTGGGGTGGGGGAAGTGTGTGCTGGTGTAGTGAATATATCTATATCTATATATTTTATTTTTTTTTTCCTTTTTTTGGAACACTTTTTCCAGAGCAGTTGGGTTTTTCCTCTTCCTGCAGCTCCTTTCTGTCCAGGGCCTCCCCCAGGTCTGTGTGTGTATCCATTGCTGGCGACGGACGCGGCCCCTCGCAGCTCCTGGAGCTCTGGTTCAGGATGCCTTGCCTTTTTCTTGGTTGATTTTTGGCCCCAGATCTTTACCTGCCCAAATCCAGCTCTCTGTTCCCACTCGTGCACGCAGGACACGTGCTGTGATCCCAGAGGAGGCGTGTGTGTGTGTGTGCCTGTATGTGTGTGTGTGTTTAGAGATTTGTTTTGGATCCCAAGGCAGGACAAGGAGGGGCATTTTGCACCACTTCTCCAAAGACTTCCTGCGAGATTTCGGCTGTGGATCTCCTCTCCCTCCCCTTTTCATCTGTCAAATGGACCCTTTCTTGCTGTTTTAATTTTCACTTCATTATGACGAGTCGTAACATTGAAAAGGAAAGCTGATGGAATTGTCTTTGTGTTTGTTTTGGGCTCAATCACTGGGTGTCCTGTCCTGGCAACTATTTAACACTCCATCTAGTGCAGTAGAAGCTGAAATCAGCGGAGTATTTTTCAATTAAAAGGGGAAAGAACTAATGAGTTTAGCTACTGAGTCCATTTTTATGATTTCTGTAATAAGAGCTATGTTAAAGTAAACAATTGGTGGTGGTTTTATTAAATTTACTCCTGTATAGGAATTCCTTCTGTGGTATTTTTCGCCAGGCAAAGTGTCCTCCGAGCCTCCTGCCACTCTGCCAGCTTCCAGGGGATGGGAGTTGTGAAGGGATCAAATAAAAAAGGCAGGGCTGTAACAGGGGCTGCTGTTTCCAGCTGGCAGCGGGAGCACGTCGGCTTCCTCGCCGCTCCTACCGAGTTGCACGGCTGTGGTTTTGTCCCTGTGTGCCCGCTTTTCCCGTTATTTGCCCTGGAAGTGAGCCGTGAGGCAGCGCGGCCGCTGTCCGTGTGCTTTGCCCGGTGCTGCCGGAGGGGTGCGATGGCGCAGGGCTGCCGGGAGCGGCCCTGCCCTGCCATTCCTGGTGGGAATTAGCCGGCCGTGCCCCGAAAACACTCGGAAGCTGGAGCGTGGTGGGCTGGGCAGGTTCAAGCACAGAGGCGTTGGGTTTTCACTCCGTGTTCCCCGAAAGGAATGCGCCAAGGATGTGGGCATTCCAAAGGAAAGCCGGTCTGTCGCGTCCTCAATCCCCGTGGCTCTTGGCAAACCTAAAGACAGTGACAAAAGCCCTGTTCTGTGGGAGAATCTGCTGCAGTTCCTTTCCTCCGGCTTTCAGGCGCTCGCAGGTGAATTACCTGGCTGGCGGCGGGACACCATCCCCACAGACACTGTGGAAATACGAAGGAAAATAAACAAAATCCGCCATCCCAACCTCCCTCCGTGCTGCTACTGTGGGGCGAGGAGGGAGCGCCGCTGCGGCCGCTCAGCCCTTCCCGGGCCGTCCTTCCTCACTGGCGCCCTTATTTCCCTCAACACCAAGGACTTCCCAATAAAACCTTCCAAAAGCCGGACATTTTATTATTTATGTGGTTATTCGGGTGTTTTGCAGGTTAAACGGGGGCAGGGGCTGGGGTGGGGGAGAAGGCCGGAGTCCCGCCACCACCTTCCCGCCGTCCCCCGCGCGCTATGGCCGCGCCGGAAGTGGCG